TACAACCCTATCCCCCTGTCGTGCCCTTGGTCCTACCCCTACGACTATACGGGGCAGGAAATGTAGTTATCAATAACCGTATATTTTATAAATATTTTCTTTTTTATGGTAAATAGAACAAGAAAGACAACGCACGTACTTGAAATCTGTTCTCTGTCTACAGAAGATACAGGACAGACGCTTGAGAAAAATGACCAATGGTCACCAAAACGTTGGGTCTTCAAAGAATGTTGTTAGCTGAAATTACTGCTTTTTATTTATTTTGTTTGTTTTTAAGAGGAAATATCAATCATTGATAATTAATAATTCGAGTTATTATTGTTCATCTATTCTGAATTTCGCGCAAAGCTACTTGAGGGCTATCTTCGCTAGCCGTCCATAATTTAGCAACGATAGAGTAGACGAACGGCAGCTAGTCAACACCAACAACCTCCACCTCCCAATGAATAGCCGTCACCTTTTAACGACCCCAAGGCTTAAAGGGCGAGCGTATTTGTCTACGGGATTCGAACCCACGACCCGCAGATTGCGAGCCAAGCGCCCCCTAACCACCAGGCCATGATAGGCTTTTATCCGGTTACAATTAACTCTCAGTGTAGAACAGGATGTGGTGAAAATTAAATGAGACGAAAACAGAGGAAGGTTACATACGCTTTAATATTTTAATTTTGATTTGAATACACACATTTGTTTCATAATTAGAGAATATTACGAAAAAAAACTTGTAGTAATAACAAGAGCCAACGGTTTTGGTTAATTTGTTTCATAATTAGAGAATATTACGAAAAACAAAACAAAAAAACTTGTAGTAATAACAAGAGCCAACGGTTTTGGTTAATTTGTTTCATAATTAGAGAATATTACGAAAAACAAAACAAAAAAACTTGTAGTAATAACAAGAGCCAACGGTTTTGGTTAATTTGTTTCATAATTTGCACAAAAAGCTACACAAAGGGCTATCTACGCTAGCCGTCCCTAATTTAGAAGCGGTAGACTAGTCAACGTCACTGCCGCCAACTCTTAGACTACATTTTGCCAATGAATATTGGGAAGGACCTTCACATTATATAGGCCCCACGACCGGATTCGAATCCACGACCCTCATATTGTGAGTCGAGTACTACCCTAACCACGAATTCTTATCATTTATTAAACGATAATCAGAGGAACAATGTGAATGTTATGTTAATTAAAGTAAATTAAAGGTATGTTAATTAAAACTGCGGACAAAGGTCAAAATGTAACATACTGTGAGTAATGCAACAACAGTGTAACAAGGGTTATTACCTAGGATTCAGTAACAGTGCAAACAAAATAACAATTCCAGAGAGCGAGGAAGATGTCTACGCTGAACCTAACCCTCCCTGGTCCAAAACATGGACCGAATCCCGATTAAGATGATGATGATAAGAGCTAGCGGGACTAAATGTGGCACGGGTGGGTGTTCTAAAGGAGTTTGTTTTTGATCATGGACCCACTTGGGGTAGCTGTTTTAAGGAGTTTGTTTTCGATCATGGACCGCTCGGTGTAGCTGTTTAAAGGAGTTTGTTTTTGATCATGGACCCCCCCTCGGTGTAGCTGTTTTAAGGAGTTTGTTTTCAATCATGGACCCCCTTGGGGTAGCTGTTTTAAGGAGTTTGTTTTCGATCATGGATCCCCCTCGGTGTAGCTGTTTTAAGGTGTTTGATTTCAATCATGAACCCCCTTGGGGTAGCTGTTTTAAGGAGTTTGATTTCAATCATGAACCCCCTTGGGGTAGCTGTTTTAAGGAGTTTGTTTTCAATCATGGACCCCCTTGGGGTAGCTGTTTTAAGGAGTTTGTTTTCGATCATGGAACCCCTCGGGGTAGCTGCAAAAACAGCAGATCTAGATTGCTACGTTGTGATCTTTGTTAATCATGTGGGGGGCTTTGAACCCCGCAGCGGAGCGCGTGTGTTTTATGCTAGTCAAAGCAAAATGATGGAAGACGATTTAAGTGTTAATTAAATAAGGCGGGTCAAACACGTCGGAAATTTAAATTAACCAATAAATAAAGAGAAAATCGTAGCCAATGGTGACTGAATGAAGTGAAAATAATGGAAACTATGATACAATAACATTTTTATAACAAATGGAGTGTTATGAGATAATGTCTTCGAGATTGAACAACAAAAACAGTTAAAGACATAGCAACAATAAAGAAAGACTGGAAAAACACAAATTAAAGGGATTTGCATAAAATCAAAAGTTATGTCATAGACTGAATAAACTCTACGTTAAAAATAACAAGACTTATGTTCTCTTCTGTAGAACACGAGTCTGCTGTTTGAATGACGACAACACAAGTTCAAGTCAATATAGAATATAGTTCTATTGGTATTTGTGGTTCGTACATTTAAATACATTACGTATTTGTGGTTCTTACATTTAAATACATTACGTATTTGTGGTTCTTGAACAAGGGTAAACAATTTTCTGCATAGCCTAACAATACAAATAAGTTTGGTCATTTCAAGGCACTCTTGGCTAGTTTCTGACCACTGTCGTGATGTTAATAACTCTTCAGAGGTTATGACCACTATTAGCCTAGTCAAGCCAATTTAGGAAAAATACACAGAACACAACAACTAAGACGTTTCTCTGTGTGCGTTAATAATCTCTTATTTTAAAGTAATATTGGAAACTTTTTATACTACTTAAGTTAAGTTCTTGATCAATCAAAAAAAAATCCATCTTACCGTCCACATTCAGAGAAGAACTGTAACTCCTAGTACCTCCGGAGTTGGAGACGATGCACGTGTAATTACCAGCGTGGTCAGCCTTCACGCTGGACATAGCAAGCAAAATAAAACGTTCGTGAACTTGTAGAGTAACTCCGGATTCAGGTGACAGAGGATGGTCATCTTTTAACAACTTTATGTCAAACGGTGGGTCTCCCTCGTTGACGCCACACGTGATTACAACTGCAGAACCCTCTCGAACTCGGTTAGGAAAATCAAAAGGAATTATCTTCGGTGGTACTAGAAAAAGAACAAAAATAGGTAGACAAAGCATCTTTAATAGAATCATTTTTACATTTACTTGCAATGATTTGTTTGCGAACAATTCTTCCTTTTGTATTTCAAATTCACTCCGTTTTTACTCCTAGGAACACTTTGTTTAGAAACATGATTTCCTCTAAAGGAGCACCACTATACATAACACTTTCGAGGACCCTGCGGAAGAGCATCTAGTACTAAAATATACTTCAAATTCTTTATGACTTTATATATATCACACAGCTGAACGAAATGTAATGTAATTTAAGTAACCTTTTTGATTCCATATGCCCACCTTTCCACAATACAGTTTAATAACTTCTTTGATAGATTTTTTGGGCAGAGTGTTCATGATGAAATTTGGTTGAATGGACGACAACTTCCCGTTGTCGAAACACAAGTATAGAAGACGACGTTTCAAAGATCGGAAGACAAAACCAGATGCCTCCATAAACACAGATTAACAAAGAACTAGAGTTTAAAAAGTACATTGCAGATTTTTGAAAATATAAATCAATCAAACACTCAAGTTATTGAGTCAAACTTTCTCATCTTGAGGCATCTAGTTCCGTCTTCCCACTTTCGAAACGTCGTCTTCCATGCTTGTGTTTCTACAACAGACAGTTGTCGTCCATTCAACCAAATTTCATCGGGTTAATAACTCCTACCGCCCCCTAAAACAAATCTATGGGCATACTAGACTCCTGGTTACTTAATTTTTATTATAATCTTCAAAACATTGAAATGATAAAACAACTAAATCTCAAAGTGCTAAAAAAGGATTGAAATAAATTATTAGGATCTAGTAATGTTCAACAAATTATATTAGTAAGGCTTACAAGAAGATGTAATTCTATGCATCAGAGTGTTTACATAAGAATTACAACGTTTTGAAATAAATGAAATAAAATAAAGCCACTGTAAAAACACAGAGTTGAATTGTTTGTTTATTGAATTTCGCTCAAAGCTACTAGGCAGCTATATGCACTGGACGTCCCTGAGTTGGAAGTAATAGAATACAAGAGGTAGATGGTCAACATCATCCATCGCCAACTCTTAGGCTACTCTTGTACGAACGAAACGTGTGAGTGACCGTCACATTATAATGCCAACCTCAAACCCCTCCCCCGTAACCACCAGTTTATGCCAGGCTACGCAACTTTGAAATAGAAACAAGTTTATTAGCGACGTTTGGAGCAATAATTTTAACAGTGATGCAACTAATGATGTAATTAAACTGTAAATCTGCTAGTTCATGTATTTTAAATGTATTAGGATTCAACTAATGATGTAATTAAACTGTAAATCTGCTAGTTCATGTATTTTAAATATATTAGGATTCAACTAATTATATCCTGCATCTGAAAACATGTAGATAATGGTGCGACTGAAGTTCACAGCGCAAGTCCCCCGGTAGGTCAGCGGTAAGTGTACGGACTTACAACCGTAACATCCGAGGTTCGAGCCACCATGTTGGACACAGCAGATAGCCCAATATGGCTCTGGTCTAAAATAAACAAACAAACAAATAAAGTGTAAATTTCTTGTATTTAAAATGTAGTAAGGAAATATTTTGAAATACCTCATAGATCGGATAAACCTTGTCACAATTTCAAATTTTGGTAATGTTTGGAATAAAAAGTGTCACTGTTTGTGTCCCCAAGTGGTTTAGCGGTAAGTTTGAGATCTTATAACCCTAAAAATTAGTTCTTTGCGCTTAGCAATAAACAAAGAAAAATATCTTTATTGTCTAAACCTTCGTGTTTTTTTGTTTGTTTATGAATAATTATTTCGATGGGCTTGGCCTTGTAATTGATCTTCAATGACCTGGAGTGTTTAATCTTCAATGACCTGGAGTGTTTAATCTTCAATGACCTGAAGTATTTAATATTCAATGACCTGGAGTATTTAATATTCAATGACCTGAATTATTTAATATTCAATGACCTGAAGTATTTAATATTCAATGACCTGGAGTATTTAATCTTCAATGACCTGAAGTATTTAATCTTCAATGAACTGAAGTATTTAATCTTCAATGAACTGAAGTATTTACCTAGTTCTCCAGATACGCAAACATTTCTAGGCTAGTTTTATAGCAATTATCCCATTCGTTATTTAGACGTACAAGACATACAGTTACTACTGCACGTCTTATGTTTATTTCTCTTGACATCTAGTACATCTTGGGATAATTCTTTTTACGTTTCTTGCAAGACAATAGTATTAGGTTTATTGTATTTTTAGCAATAGTTTTTTCGGTCCCTTGAAGTTGTTTCCCCCCAGAAAAAATAGTATTTCAACCACACTGTATCTGCCAATATCTGCTACTGACGGCCCGTTTCATTTACTTCTACAGCTAATCAGGCTGACTGAGATACTACAATACAAACGCAGTAGTAGTCGGAACACTGTTTATACAAAGCATTTGTTAGAATAACAATTATAATGTTGTGAACGCCTCTTTCAAGCTGGAAGTGTGATAATTATGAGTTATATTAGTCGTAAAACAATAGTGTTAGGCTTAATGTATTTTAAACACTACATTATTTTTTCGTATTCATGGTGAGTCAGTGATACATTTGCGGACTTACAACGCTAAAATCCGGTGTTTGATTCCTCGCTGTGTAACTTTGCGCTAAAACAACAACATATACACTTTTTTATTCAATCTCTTAGGGTTTTATGAGAAGAATTATATTTTACTTCATGTTTTCGTCATGCAGAGCTACACAATAGGCTATCTGTATTCTGTCCACTGCAGGGAATCGAATCCCGGATTTTATCGTTGTAAGCTCGTAAACTTACCGCTGTCCCACCGTAGGACCGTCTATACTAACAATTACCAGTGCTATTAAATTATATGTCTATGTTTGACTACGGTCGGTGCTAGTGTTATAGGATCCTTGTACACACGCACCAAAAAGGGGGAAGGGAGGAGAACTTCAAGTCAGTGTTATAGGCTGGTTCTCTGATTGAAAATATCCATTTGAGTAAATACCAGCATATAACGATTTGGTTGGAAGAAGTCTCCGTAGTTTTATCTCAGGGCTAGCGAATGGACACTACACAGAACCGGTTAAGAAGATTTAAGAACTAATGTGTTATAAGTATGGCGAAGAACATGTGTTCGTTCAGGATCAACATACTTGTCACTTTGATCGTTACGTCTTGGTGGTCCGAAGCGCCATCTTCGTTGACTGCGTTACATCGGTACTGCCCCTGATCTGAGTCGCGTGCCACCTCCCGAATAATAAGAGAACCATTTCGAAATACTTGTTGTCGGTGGTTAATGGGAAGTTGAATATTACCTGCAAACAAACAAAACACGAAAGACGGGATTCAAAATGCCAGTGACTGAAACAGTATGAATGTTCTGGCTGGCGTGACTCGTCGACAATGCCAATTTTGTGTTTGGACGCGAATACACGTGGAAAAACGATCTCTTATTGGAAACAAAATCATTTTGAACCCAATTTTCCTGACAAAACAAAATGTCCATCATGATTTGAAGATACTATCCAGACTAGTAAGATTTCATTTATAGTTTTTAATTGATTTACTTGATCTGATTTGTCTCTTACTAGTCTGAACCATATCATATCCTCCAGCACAAGATAGAACCGTAAATTTTAATAATCTGTAAAACCAATCTGATAAAATCTTCTCCTTTGGTAGATGAACGGAACTACGAAAATTGCTTAGATATAACAAATTAATAGTTAAATTACTCTTTGTAGAAACAGAGATATAGCAAATTAATAGTTAAATTACTCTTTGTAGAAACAGAGATATAGCAAATTAATAGTTAAATTACTCTTTGTAGAAACAGAGATATATCAAATTAATAGTTAAATTACTCTTTGTAGAAACAGAGATATATCAAATTAATAGTTAAATTACTCTTTGTAGAAACAGAGATATAGCAAATTAATAGTTAAATTACTCTTTGTAGAAACAGAGATATAGCAAATTAATAGTTAAATTACTCTTTGTAG